TCTTAAACACGGTGATGGGTTTCCGCATGTGTCAGACACCCGGCTAACCAGCTCCCCCCCCACCCCAAAGTTTCATTGCCATTTCCCATTTGAATCCGTGCTGAAAATCAGTACAAATCTGTTTTACAACAGTAAAATAAGAGCAAACCTGAGAACATGTTTCCGAGTTACGATATTTATGGAAGGGTTCACCCAACTGTTTAGTTCCACTTGTTGGTTAAGTCCTGCCTCGAGGTTTACATCCCATCTGCTTGTGTACAGTTAGTTACATTTTTACTATTTTAAGATTTTTAAATTAGGCCTTAAGCCAACGTCATGTCAGCGATGTGTAGGGCACCCTATATATACCGTGGTGTGCTAACAGAAGTTTTTTTTCCAAAATGAAGTGTAGACTCCATTCTGTGCATATGCATGTGGAGTCTCGCAAGCGAGAAAACCTGGGTTTGATTCCCGACAGGGCGAAACTCTGGGCAAGTTTCCTTACTCCGTACACATGCCTCTGTTTACCTAGCAATAAGTTGGAACCCGGGTGCTGCTTTTCCGGGGGCAATAATCCTTCAAAAAAAAAATAAAAGTAATAAATTGGTTACTCAATCCACGACTGTTTGTGGGACATCGCTGTGTGCAATTGGCTTCCGTGTTTTGCCCACAAAAATGCTGTCAATTCACTTTACAGTGTATTCTGCAAAGCGCTTTAAGATGTGTCTCGAAGACGTGATAAGGCGCTATATCCAAGTGCAAGGATTATTATGGAAGTGCTGTTCTGTTTTGTATGGCAAAAGGCTGGGAGTTAGAAAGGCTGTCCAGTCATAATCTGTCTGGGAATGCATTTATTTCCTGTGTCTGCCGCTCTGAAGCATGAAACTCACCATCCACTTGAGGTTAGGGATCTTCATTTCAGTAATAACATGAGGCACTGATACATCTCTTGAGAACATGCTTCTTTGTGCAGCTGGACATTGGTAGAGCAGTGCACATTCCAACACAGTGACGATCAAAGACGTGTCACCATCCCAGTGCTGCACGTGAGCACTTTCTTCCCCCATTGTATTACGAGCCCAATCCTTTCCTGATTCACTGTAAATTCATCACTCACTCGCTTGGCATTTTAGACTTCCTTTCAAGAACAGAATGAATCACTGTACCGTGGGAGCTCTCTTTCGGAGCAAGTTGATTCAANTTTTTACTCAAAGACCCAGTGGATAAGTTGTACCTTCAAATCTGGGGGTGCAAGTGGGTGTCTAGTTACTCTACATAAAAGGGCTTAACTTCTGCACCAATACAACTGATATGCCAGGTAATGAAATGGATCATTCTATAGCTATCCTGAGTTGCTCAATCTTCTTTGCTGCATTGAAATGAAACCTTAGTCTACAGTGCCTTAAGTAACAAGAATTTATTTTTCATACAGACTATGTTGGGGAAAGAGAAACCTCTTAAAGGTTTATTATATAATAAAAAGCCATTTGGATTATCTGTGACATAGTTTTGGGAGAAGGGTAAGGCAAAATACTCTTGTGGGCAAGTTAACCGGTACAAATAACTGCAACATCTATCTAGATATCCGCTCGAGAAAATGTCCCTAAAATATTGCAACTGATGTGAGTTAGGAATTTAGCTGTTGTGTGTTGTAGCATTTTTCAGGGTCAGAAAACACGAACAAAATGTTGGCATCAGGTTAGTTTTGGGATTGTGAATCTTGTGTTAGCAGCAGTTGTATTCGCTTTGAATCGTGAATAAGCTGGAGCTACTAAACATTCAGGTCGTGTTACTGTGAAATCTGATGCGTATCCAGTAGCTTTGCATAGTTTCGAAAAAGGTGAACGGTTGCTGTGTGTGCTTGTCTGCGGCTGCAGCTGATGCTTTTCAGCGAGGCTGTTTCAGTACAGGAAACGCTTACTCTCTGTGGTGATTGTCCTTTGAGAAAGTGTCGCTTTCTAATGAATGTATGTACCACTTCCTCCAATGGGACACAGATCGTTTCCCCTATTGCTCCACATAGAAGTACATGCTGACACTGTACCGGAAACACTGCAGTTGTGTGGTGTGTATGTGTGTGCGCGTGTGATTAGTGTGGGGGTATGTGCATTTGTAGTGTGCGAGCGAGCGCGCGTCTGTGTGCAGGTTTGAAGTGCATGTGCGTTACATGCTTGTGGTAGGGGTGGTGTCTGTGTGTGCGCGCGTGCACGTCTTGTGTGTACGCATCTGGCACCGTCAAAGGGAAAGGTCTTGAGACGAGCCTTGAAGGAGGCAAGGGAGGGGGCGAGGCGGAGCGATTCGGGGATGGAGTTCCAGAGGGTGGGGGCAGAACGGCTGAAGGCCTGACTGCCAATGGTGGGGCGGGCAGATGAAGCAGGTCAGTGCCCGCCGAACAGAGGGAGTGGACAGGTTGGTATGTCGAGAGGTCGCAGAGGTTGGGAGGAGCTCAACCATGAAGGGCTTTAAAAGTGAGGACGAGGATTTTAATACATCAAATTATTACAGACGCAAACCAGAGTCAGTCGATCTAAGTAGTCTAAATTGAAGAGAAAGTGGACGTTGCATGTTATTCTTCACAGATGAAGCTCTCACTGTTGCAAGTGCTAAAGCACTGTTCAGCAACATCCTGGTTCTGTGCTGTGCTAATAGGCTGGTGATGTTCCAACATCCTACACATGGAAAACCTTTGCTCCGCCAATGTTCCAGCAATCTACTGAGAGAGAAGAAATCCACTATGATGGTTGCAGACACGGTGTCATGTAGGTTCCATTTCTACATCAGTCTTTTTTATTGCTCCTGAGTTCATCTGTACCATCTCAGTGACCTGCCACAACCCAAGAACATCTAGCAATGTCGAACAAAACGTAAATCTAGCAATTCGTGCAATCCTGTAGCTCAGGGGTTAGAGCACTCGCCTCGCAAGCGAGAGGACCTGGGTTCGATTCCAGGCAGGACGAAACGTTATTTTTGATGGAGCCCGGGTCCCAGCACTTGCGAGGAGAGTGCTCTAAACACTCAGAAGACGTGATAAAGCACTGTACAAATGCAAGGATTATTATATTATAATTTAGTGTTGCTGTTGCGAAGACTCAAGGTTGGCTGGCACTGAGATGACAGTTGCTCAGCCTCAGGCTGGGGGTGGGGGAGTGGTGCAGTTAGAGGTTCTGCTGAGATTTTTTGATTGCTCAGGTTTTCTTTTTAAAATAAAATAATACAGCGTTATAGAACCGGTTATTCTGTCTTATACATTCCCTTCTCGTCCAGATTGAAATCAGTTTGTTGCTCATCTCATTCATTCGCAAAATATACAGTCAATTCACTTTATAGCACATCCTGTGATATTGAGACGGCTCGGAAGACGTGATAAGGTACTATATTAAATGCAAGGATTGTTATTATTATTATTATCTCTTCGTTTGTAGGATGTTGCAAGTGCAAATGATAAGCTCCATTTGCCTCGACAGCAAAATTTGCTTCATTTCTGATCCATCGCTGTGAAATACTTTGAGACTTTTCTTTTGAGGTGCAAGGTGCTGTATAAATGTCTGTTGCTACTTCATAGTTCCCCTTATCGTTCCTGACTCGGCTCGATTTGAATTGCTGCCCCGTATCACCGTGTCACTGACCCGCTATTAAGCCCTGCAACTTATGAATTGACAGCAGCACAAAATCTAAACTGCAGAGTGCATTGCAAGCAGCTTTTGTCACTTCACTGCTCACTACAAATCCTCCCACGAGGATTGTGTGGTTTCATGGCTGGAGACCAAGATGTAGCTTTAACCCCTTCACATCCAGCCGCTGGTGTTATTTATTGTTTGCGTCCTGTGGGTTTTGCTGTGAAGTAGGAACCGAGTGACTTTGATGCGATACAGTCGATCTATTCTGCACTGTTATTCCTTGGGGAGCTTTGCAATAATATTCATTCTTGCATTTGATATAGTGCCTTATCGCGTCTTTGTGACGTCTCAAAGCGCTTCACAGGATACACTGTAAAGTGAATTGACTGTATATTTTGTGGATGAAATGCCCAATAATGAACCAAGGGACGATGCTTGCTACATTGGACAAATCTACTGCTATGGCATTGCTTGATATTCAACCATTTTAACATCATTCAGCACCCTCACCGTTTGCGTTGACAGACCCTGGCTGTGCTCTTTGTCCTTTTTTTACTTCCTCCTACAATCGCACAATGTTACAGCATAGAAAATTTGTGCTAGTGTTTTCCTACATTTGATGCACGCAATCTACTCCCACCTTACTGTTCACTCACCACAGGCTTTAGTATTTCTCTTCAAGCATCTACCTAATTCCCTTTAAGAGGAACCTATTAACTCTGCATCAATTATGTTTTGAAACAGAGCATTCTTGATTCCCACCACCTCCTGTGCAAAGAATTTTTTTAATAACCTTGAAGACTCCTGTTTGAATGAACCCTTAACCTCTGTGCTCCAGTGAAACAAGCCCTAACTCTTCATAAATGAACACCCCTCATCTTTGGTAACATCCTGTGTGAATCCTGTCCATTGTTTTTATATTGTTCCTAAAATAGGGATTCCCCAAAATGCAAACAATATTCAGATTGTTACCAACTATAGTTTGCCTACAAAATACAGTCACAACACAGCAAACCTGTGAAGCGCTTTGAGACATCCTCCGGATTACTTGTACAACTTCAGCATTTTTCTTTGCTGTTCTATTTGCCTCTGGTTACAAACCCAAAGACTCATTGTTAAAGTGTTTTGCTTTCACCCACAAAACATAGTCAATTCACTTCATAGTATATCCTGTGAAGCACTTTGAAAGGTCTAGAAGATGTGATAAGGTGCTGTATCAAATGCAAGGATTATTATTATTATTACTGATACTGCAGTTCACTAGTTGTAATGTGTGTGGTAGTAGTTTGCTTGTTAGGCAATCATGTAGTCTAATTCAAACTCTTTAATGGAGGATTTCAGGTACCATATATGGTCATGTTCACAACGGAAAGCAGTAACTTTACATTTCTGTTCTCACTACAGGATGACTGATCGCCGCCTACTCATAAACGAAACCCAGCATCTCAGACACTGTGTTGAAGGGGATGTCGGATACCTGTGGGATTATCGACCTTCATCCAACTGAACACTTGCTGTCTGACAGTTTCAACTCAAACTGACTGTGGTAAAGATCTAATTGATCCCAGGTACTGTGTAGTGGGAGAACATGATGAGATTTTGTCGATATGTGGACAAGATGGAATTATAAACGTCAAAGCCGGAGGGACTGCGGTACAGAACTCGGTTCAGGTGGTGGTTTAATTCTGCAGCCAGCCATTTCGAGCCGAGAAAGAGATGACTGGGACTTTTCTGTTATTCCCAGCGAGACCGAGTGTTGACAGACTATGACAAGCTATAGACCTGCTCCGAACGAGAAGCTGGAGGCTGGTGCCATCGGTGCAGGCTGTGTGGATCTGCTGGCAGTCACCGGATCTTGCGATTGCTACACGTCACCGTACGGCAGAGTGCAGAATGGCACCGTGCTGGCTCCGGACGAGAGCGTGCCGCGGGCCAGTACAGCCCCCGCCATGCCCAAAATGGGGGTCCGGGCCAGAATTGCGGACTGGCCTCCGAAAAGAGATCTATCGTGGGACGCCGGGTTACGCGGCTCGAGGGACACAGATGGACCTTTATCCGACGCGGACTTTGTTTCGCTGCGGGACCTCCAGAATGGTCAGTTCGATCAAGGCCGTCAGGGCACTGCCTCCGGGTCTGGTTGGGGCGCGCACAGCAGATCCCGGGGGAAGTCGAAAGAGGTGGAATTTCAGGGTCACTGGCCCCGGTCTCCAGCCAGGACGTTTATCCCGCTCAGGATTCGGAGCAGCAGCGAGGTGACCCTCAACGAGTACGAGACGGAAGGGTACTCGGAGCCCAAAGGGTCGAAACATGGAGCCGGGATGCTCTCCATGCGGGAATACGGCAGCACCTCATCCATTGACGTGCACGGAGTGCCCAATGAGAGCTTCTTCGACATGCTGAAGGAGTTCCGGAACGAGAAGATCGACCAGCGCAGTACGGCGCCCGAGAAGCTGAACGAGCTCCTGCGCGCTGACCACAGCATGGCCTCCAGCCTCAACCTGGCGGGCAGCTCGAAGAGCGAGGATGGCAGGAGCGAGGGCTCGCAGAAGGACGAGTCAGTGAGGACGCCGCACAAGGAGAAGCTGCGCAAGAAACAGGGGAAAAGTGAAGCCGGGGAGTCCATCCTGAAGAAGCTGCGGAGCGTCAGGAGCGAGCAGGAGGGGGCCCGGTCGGGCTCAGAGTTGGAGGACAGCAAGTCGCAGGAGAGCAGCAGCAAGCCATGGCTTTGTCAGAAGAGCTTCGGGCACTTCGACGCACAGAGCGTCCTCTTCGACTTGAACGAGGCAGCCAACAACCGGGCGTATGTGGCCCAGAGGAGGAACACGACGACGGGAGCCTCGGCGGCCTCGGCTGCCTCGAAGGCCACGCTCGCCGTCTCGCGGGCCCTGGCGCTGGCCGGAACTGAGCCCTCCTTCGCCAGCACTGAGGAGTTGAACGGCAAGGAGAACTTGGAGCCCGACGTGGGAGACGACACCAGCAGCAAACTGCTGCTCAGCTGCCCCCACTTCCGCAACGAAATCGGCGGGAGCTGCGAGCGCAACATCAGCCTGTCCCGAGCCAACGTCGCCTCCGGCCTCAGCTGTGAAGGCGGTTTCCCAAAGCTGGTGTGGAACCCCTACTGCACCAACGCGAGCATCTCCGTGCTGGAGGCAGCCAAGGAGGCCCCCCAGCTCCGGCAGGAACGGTTGAAGCACTTCAGCATTGAGCACGTGGATCTGGGAGCCAGATACTATCAGGATTATTACCATGGGAGAGGTAATAATTTCAACCACACAACGACGCGTTACATTTACGTCAGGAGGACGTCTCAAGGCTCTGGACCATCAGGGATCCACACCTGAGCCGGGAGTTGGGATCGGGAGGGAGGGTAGGGGTAGGAGGGAGACCAAAGGCACGGTCGAAGAGGAGAATCTTGAGACGGGACTTGAAGGAGACAAGGGAGGGAGCAAGGCGGAGGGGTTGTGGGATGGAGTTCCAGAGGGTGGGGGTAGAGAGGCTAAAAGCTTGACCGCCAATGACAATTGACTGTGAAGACAGATTCTGTCTGCGCGCTCGACCTAACCAGCAGAGAAATGCTAGATGTTTGATCAGGAATAGAATCCTTGGAGCAATTTTCAGCTGCCGGTTCTCTGGCTGCTTCTCAAGTGCTTCTCCTGTGTCTGCCTTATATTGGGTGGCAGAGATTGTGAGAAGAGATTAAACCAAAACAATCTTAATTATAGGTTTAGACTTTGGCAGAAAAAGAATTGATTTTCTATTCATTAACATGAGACAGTTTTGTACAGTACATTCAATCAGATGCTTGGGGTGGGGGGGGTTGTGGGGGTGCAGTGCGCTGCTGATCACCCATTTCAGGCTGGTAAGTGTAGCACCTGTGTTTTTTAAGCACTGTTGCAATATATAAACAGTTGCCGGGAAAATAAAGCTAAAATATTTTGGTTAAAGGAGGAAAATAGTTTGAAAACCCCCAAACTCTGTCACTTTCCCTCTATTCTTCCCTCCGCCTCACCCCCTTCCCCATCTTCAGGTCGTGCCTGAAGACCTTCCTCTTTGACCAGTGCCTATGGTCACCTCCCACTCTCCCTGGCTCGGCATCATGCTCTGCCTCTGTCAAGCGCTCCGGGGCGCTATCCTGCATGAGGGATGCGTCGTCGTCGTTGTAAAATCAGCCAGTCAAGTATTTCTATAAAGTTAGTAAGGATTGGTTTGGGAACAGGAACTTGCTGTTAATGCTCTAAAAGTTTGGTTGAACTTTTACTAAAACTTTGAGCGCTAAAAACCTGCTTTTCGATGACTCACGCTGCGTTTTAGACACCTTTTGTTTACCTGCTGACTCCTATAGCCCTCTGTGAAAAGTCCCAGGCTGTGTGTGTGCTCAACTTGTCCGCCTTTCCTCCCAAGTCATGTTATGAAATCAATCAGTCACTGCAGTTCTTAAGTAACCCATTTGATATTTATCCTTTTTCAAATAAGGGCAGGGCGAAACCTCAGGCAACTTTCCTTACTCCACACGTATGCCTCTGTTTACCTAGCAGAAAGTAGGAGCCCGATTGTTAGTCAATTAGTGCATCGCTTTTCCAGGGATAATAATCCCTTAAAAAATAAGAATAATGTAGTCCCTCCATCCATGACTGTTTGTAGGACGTTGCTGTGCACGATTGGCTGCTGCGTTTTACCACAATATATACAGTCAATTCACTTAACAGTCTTGAAGACGTGATAAGGCGCTGTGTCAACTGCAAGGATTATTATTTTTACTCTGTCTTGTAGAACACTGGAACTACTTTGGAGTTGATGAAAAGCTGGGCCCCGTAGCCCTGAGCATCAGGAGGGAAAAGCTGGAGGACAGCAAGGAACACGGACCTCAGTACAACTACAGGATCATCTTTCGGACCAGCGAGGTGTGAGCTGGTTATCTTTTCTGTTCTCGTTGCAACTTGCGATCAGGGAGATTCGGAGGAACTCTCCTCGCCCTCCACTCCTCGTGATCCCGACCCCCAGCTCGGATCCCAAATCCAAATCCAAGCCCCTTGGGATGTCCTCCTGAAGTGAAAGGCGCCGTGTAAATGTCATTTGTTATTGTTAATATCTGTTATGGGTTTGAGGTGCTGTACTGTCCGAGTCTGGGAGAGACGTAGTGTGCACTTGTGCTTTGTCTGCTCTTGTCCAGGCAAAAGGGTGGGGGTTCCGAAGGTGATCGAAGGCGTGGATGAAGAGGAGGGTTTTGAGACCGACGGGTCTTGAAGGAGGCAAGGGAGGGCGCGAGGCGAAGGGAATGTGGGATGGAGTTCCAAAGGGTGGAGGGGCAGAGAGGTTGAAGCCCGATCACCGATGGTGGGGTGGGCCGGGCGGGAGACGTGCAACAGGCCGGAACCTGTTGAGCGTAGGGAATTAGCAGGTCACAGAGGTAGGGAGGAGCAAGGCCGTGGAGGGCTTTGAACTCTGTCCTCTGCGGGTTGGGGAGCCAGTGGAGCCGAGCAAGGGTATGGGTGATAGGGTCTTGGAGCTATGCACTACAACAAAGGAATAAGGCTCCGGTTAGTGCCTCATATTGTGAAAATTGTTTGCCTTCAAAATAAACCAGTCACTACACTAGTAAATACTACGAAGTGCTTCGTCGATTTGACATGATGAACGGCTCTGACGATGAGTTCTTTGTGTGACAGCTTATTACGCTGAGAGGAGCAATTCTGGAAGATGCAGTCCCATCGACTGCGAAGTCCGGCACATTGAGAAGCCTTCCAGTCAAAGACGTACTGGAGTACGTGATCCCAGAGCTGAATATCCAGTGTCTGAGGCTGGCGTTCAGCACCCCCAAAGTGACAGAACAGCTGCTGAAACTGGACGAACAAGGGGTGAGTCAAATCACTGTTTTAGATTTCATGTAGGATGCATCCATACTTCACTGCAAAATATGCAGTCAATTCACTTTACAATATATCCTGTGAAGCGCTTTGAGAGGTCTCAACGACATGATAAGGCGCTGTTTCAAACGCAAGGATTATTATTATTAAAGCGGATAGTTATCTTAAAAATCATTGTGTGTTGACTGCACTGTTTTGCTCCCCCCACAGCTAAGCAGGAAGCATAAAGTTGGCATCTTATACTGTAAGGCTGGCCAGAGCACGGAAGAGGAGATGTACAACAATGAGGAGGCAGGTCCCGAGTTCGAGGAATTCCTCAATCTCCTCGGGGAAAAGGTGGCTCTGAAACACTTCACAAAGTACGCAGCTCAGCTCGACACAAAAAGTAAGCATCTTAGAAACGAGAAGGTTTAGGACCAATCTTCACTTTAAATATAGACAAAAGAATACATTAAAATGTCTTTCTTTAGTGTTTTTTTTCCTCTTCCTTCAACCTGACGCCTGAGTTATCGTAGAAACTTATAGCGTAGATGGAATCTGCACATCCAGTCTGCACTGGGTCTCGGGAGCAAACTGCTTTCAATCTCACTGCCGTGCCCTTTCCCCAAACCCGTTTCAACCACGGAGTCTTATAGACTAGTGGTTAGTGCACTCACCTCGCAAGCGAGAGGACCTGGGTTCAATTCCCCGGCAAGTTTCCTTACGCCGCACCCGCCTCTGTTTACCTAGCAGTAAGTAGGAATATTCTCAAAGTTAGGAATAAACCCTCAGTGAGGAGGGTGAGATATTCTGGATGAGGCTGATCTTCAAATGCAGTGTGACGCTCAAACATCATTCCTTGTTTTATAGCTGACTCCACCGGCACCCATTCCCTGTACACAACCTACCAGGATTACGAGATCATGTTTCACGTCTCCACCATGCTTCCCTACACTCCCAACAACCGGCAGCAGGTGGGTAATCACCCCAATAGTGTTCTAAGAAGATGCATTAGTGAAATGATTTGTTTTGCCTGCTTTATTGCCTGCATCACATTGAGTTACTGTCCTTTGCTAACAGTACGCCAATTGATGTGCATTGCTGCACAGGCGTGAGGGGCAAGGCAGTTAAATGGGACTGAATGGATTGCTCTTTCATAGAGCCAGCGCAGACATGATGGGCGAGACGATGTAGATCATGGCAGGCTGCTTCAGCTAGTCCAGAATAGTAAAACTAGGGGGCACGGCCTGCGATTGAAGGGGGGGGTAAATTCAGAACAAAATCTATGCAAAGTCTTTCAGTGAGCGAATAGTGAACCTGTGGAATAGGCTCCCTAGGGAGACGGTTGAAGTAGGAAATGTTGATTCCTTCAAACACAGATTAGATAGTTTTCTTGATATGCATTGCTGCAATGCAAGTATTATTATCCTGCGGCATTGCACGTTGATGCACACCGCCTGCATTTTTGCGGTATTGCAGATCGCATGCAATGATGAATATCAGCAGCGTTGCAGAAACCATCTTCACAGTCCCACTGTCTTGGCTGTTTATTTTCGGAGCAATTCACACCTATGTTTTATGATCGTCTCAGGTTCCCACCTGCTATCTTTACAACCAATAGATTTTACAAGGGGTTAAAAGGTACCGTATGAGGTTTGGTTCTGTAGCCTCCCTGTTGTGCGTTCCTTCGTGATCAGATCCTTGTCATGGTGCAAGTGGGCAAGGCTTCCCACAGTGCGATGCTCTGCGGGACGTGTCGTTATTGAGTTTTCCTCCTTTAAAACAGCAATTGCTGATTCCACTCCAGCAGAAATCTATAAAGAGTCTGTGAAGCCGTATTGATTCTAAATGGAACTGTTTTCAAACAACAAAATGTGTGTGTGTTTTGTGGCTGTGTTTTGTATATGCGTTGTGTGTCTGTTGTGTGTGTGTGTGTCTGTGTTTGCGTGTGTGGTGTGTGTGTGTCCATTTCGTTTCCTCCACAGCTTCTCAGGAAACGGCACATCGGAAACGACATCGTCACCATCATCTTCCAGGAGCCGGGCGCTCTGCCCTTCACACCAAAGAGCGTGCGTTCCCACTTCCAGCACGTCTTTGTTATTGTCCGTGTGCACGGCCCTTGCACTGACAACGTGTGCTACAGGTAGGACTAGGGGACTGGCTTCACCAGGGCCTCAAAATATAACTGGCGGGGGCAGAGGGGTGAGCGGGTGTCTCCTGGGAACTGAGCTGGTGACATGCTTGGAAGTGGAATACAGTAAACAGCAGCACATGACATTTAACGGCACCTTTTGCATCAGGAGGATGTCTCAAGGGGCTGGACAGTCAGGGACTCGGACCCGAGCTGGTGGTTGGAATCAGGTGGCGTGGAGGGGAGGGGTAAACCTCACGTACGTCGTAGCCATTGGGACCAGACATTTAATTTGCCTTATGCAAAGTATGAGTTGTGTCAAACTTGCAATGAATATTTAACAGGACAGAGTTTTACTGTATTGGAATCTCTTCTCTCCCTCTCCCTCTCTCGCACTTTGTATATTGATTAAAAATGCTTGATGTTTAGTGTGGCGGTGACCAGGTCAAAAGATGTCCCTCTGTTCGGGCCGCCCATCCCCAACGGATTTACCTTCAGTAAGTCCGATATCTTCCGGGACTTTCTGTTAGCCAAGGTCATAAACGGTGAGAACGCGGCGCACAAGTCCGAGAAGTTTCACGCCATGGCAACACGGACCCGACAGGAATACCTGAAAGACCTGGCGGAAAACAGCGTCACCAACACGGCTGTGGAATCCTCCGGCAAGTTTAACCTGATCGCGCTGACCTCCAAACGGAAAGAGAAGACCAAGGCCCGCGTAGGGGCAGAGCTACACAGCGCGGGGGCAGTGGCGTGGCATGTGTACGCACGGGACTACAGCCAGGCTATTGAGATCGAGTGCGTGCTCGGCATCTCCAGCGAGTTTGTCATTGTCATCGAGCAGGGCTCCAAGGACCTCGTCTTCAACTGCTTCAGCGGCGATGTTATCGGCTGGACGTTCGATTCGTTCATCATCAAACTTTTCTTCGGGAGAGGAGACTGCATCTTCATCCGGGCATTCGAGGAGAACGGGGATGATGTGAAGGAGATCGTTCAGAGGTTGAAGGTAAGGTCACTGGATGCTGGAGGGTGGCTTATGGGGAGTCCCCGTAGCTCAGAGGTTAGAGCCCTCACCTCGCAGGGTCAGGTCAGGGAGAAATGTTGGGCAAGTTTCCTTACTCCACACGGATACACACACACACACCTCTGTTTACCAGCATTAAGTAGAAACCTGGCTGTTGGTTGATTGGCGGATCGCTTTTCCGGGGGTAATAATTTTTTCAAAAATGATAATAATGATAATTTGGTCACTCAAAATTTCGTCCACAAAATATACGATCAATTCACTTCACAGTGTATTCTGTGAAGCGCTTTGAGACTTCTCGAAGACGTCATAAGGGCGCTGTATCAAATGCCTTAAGGAATAATATTATTAATAAGGTCAGTGGGTGCTGGGGGGTGACTTATTATTATTGATATTAATATATTGTTAGTGTCTGGAATGCACACCCTGGAAGAGTGGTGGAAGCAGATTTGATAGTAGCTTTCAAAAGGGAATTGAGATAGGTACTTGAAAAAAGAAAAATGTGTAAGCAAATGGGGAATAAGCGAGGGGAGTGGGACTAGTCGGTGGCTCTTACAAAGAGCCGGCACAGGAACGATGGGCCGAATGGCCTCCTTCTGTGCTGTAAGATTCTATGATTCTCTGAATAATAGTAATCCTTGCATTTTACATGGCAGGAGGTCCCAAAGCCCTTCAGAGGATAAACTGTACTGTGTAATGACTGTATGTTTTGCGGGCGGATGGAACAGCCAATTTGCGCACAGTCTTGTCCCACAAACGGCAAGAAGTGAGCGAGCGATTTTATTTGAGGAATAATTGGCCAGGGCATTTTTCTCCAATGGTCAACAATTGTACCCGTAGGTGTCCCATGGAAATATAAATATCTGTGTTCCGCCAAAGCTATTCATAACTGGGCTGAAGCTATATAACTGGGCGAGGGCAGAGGAAGACGTGCAGACTTCCTGGAATGTCCAGTATACTCAGTTGGATTGGAACAAATGTCTGGGTCACATATAAACATTCAGTGGGAAGGAATGTAGTGGAGAAAATTAACATTTGTGGAGTCCTGTAGCTCAGTGGTTAGAGCACTCATCGCAAGTGAGAGGACATGGCTTTGATTCCTGGACAGGATAAAACGTTAGGCGAGGTTCCTTACTCGACACACACGCCTTTGTTTACCAGCAGTAAGTAGGAACCAGTTGTTAGTCGATCGGCGGATCACTTTTCCGGGGGTAATAATCGCTCCAAAAAATAATAATAAATCGGTCACTCAATCCACGACTGGGACGCTGCTGTGCGCAATTGACTGCCGTGTTTTGCCCACAAAATATACAATCACTTCCCTTTACAGTATATTCTGTGAAGCGCTTTGGGACGGCTTGAAGACGTGATAAGGCGCTGTGTCAAATGCGAGGGTTATATCATTCTATTATTGCTTTACACAGGTTGTGACTGAAGGATGTGAAACCGTTGATATGACGCTGAGGAGGAATGGTCTCGGGCAGCTTGGATTCCATGTGAAGTTTGACGGGACGGTGGCGGAGGTGGAAGACTATGGGTTTGCCTGGCAAGCCGGCCTGCGTCAGGGGAGCAGGCTGGTAGAGATCTGCAAGGTTGCTATCGTCACGCTCACTCACGAACAGATGATCGATCTCCTGCGGACGTCCGTGACCGTCAAAGTGGTGATCATCCCACCTCACGAGGATGGCAAACCACGCAGGTAAGACAGCAAGGAACGAGCCTCCAGCTTGCTGCGTTTCGCCCACAAAATACAGTCACTACACTTTACAGTATATTCTATGAAGCGCTTTGAGACGTCTCAAAGACGTGGCACTATATTACACGCCAGGATTATTGTTAAGCCTATGAAAAATTATTCATCTCCATTTTTAATTCTTTCTATTTTTGCTGACTCAGTGTCCCCTGTCCTCCTCCAAACAGTGCTGATGATTTTGGTGTGGAACTAGCAGGGATCAGGTCTGTAGTCCGACAGCGTGATGGGAGCCGAATTGATTCTCGGCAGATCTTTCATTAACCTTTCAGGCATGAATATTAATTTGTCTCCCTCGTATGGTCAACCTCAGTAACTTCAACCCAGTTTCCCAAATTCCGTCAACAGTTCTCCCTGTCGAGTTCAGAAATCGAAGAGAACTAATTTTTAAGGTTAAAAGCAGAGGGGCGAAATTATTTTTACCCAGAGAATTATTACAGTCTGGAACGCACTGCCTGAAAGGGTGGTGGAAGCAGATTCGCTAGTAGCTTTCAAACGGGAATTGGTTATTTACTCAAAAGAAAGAAATTGCAGGGTATTGGGTACGAGCGGGGGGAGTGGAACTAGTTGGTAGCTGTTTCAAAGAGCCGGTACAGGCACGATGGGCCGAATGGCCTCGTTCTGTGCTATGAGATTCTGTGAAAAAATTTCACCTTGCCCTGGCTCGATCCGCCAAGCAACTAAGAACTGGATTCCTACTTACTGCTAGTTAAACAGTAAACAGTAAGTAAGTAAGGAAACTTGCCCAAAGTTTCACCCTGCCAGGAATCGAACCCAGGTCCTCTCGCTTGCGAGCCGAGTGCTCTAACCACTGAGCTACAGGACTCCAGAATTTATAAGTATGGTCAGGGCCTGTGAACAGAGTGTTTAAAGTTAACTACTGTACAAAAATGAGGGAAAGGTAACCCAGACAGACGGTGAGGCTGGCGAGTTAAACAATGGCCCTCTCTAGTCCTCTACCTTCCTTTATAACACCTTCTGGCAGAACATTGTATTAGATTACAAGCTTCAGTTATACGTTTTCCTGATAAGAAAGACTTTATCTGCTCCTTAAGATTGTTCATAATACAGTTTGCTTGTAACTAGAGCAGCCTTCTGACTGATCTCATAGTCCAACCTATCCCTTGCCAACCTTTCCACTGCAGCCCACCTCACAATTGAGAACAATAATAATAATAATCTTTGCAATTAATACAGCGCCTTATCACTTCTTCGGGACGTCCCAAAGCGCTTCACAGAATACACTGCAAAATGAATTGATGTACATTTTGTGGGAGAATCCAGAGTGTATCAAAACTAGTTAGCATTCTTAATTTGGTCAGCCAGTATAATTTTAAATGTGATCTGATGTCTTGGATCTGTCTTATCTGCTGTGCACAATTGGCTGCTGCATTTTGCTCCAAAATATACAGTAAATTCACTTTACAGTATATTCTGTGAAGCGCTTTGAGACGTCTCAAAGACGTGATAAGGCACTATATCAAATGCAAGGATTATTATCTACCCACTGGAGTGAGTTTCCTGTATGTCTGCAGTCCCTGTTGACGCTAAGTTTGAACACTACAGCAATAGTGTGGTGCAGAATCGATCTGTGCAGGTGTATGCAGCAGTTTGGGTCTAATTATCCACTGTTGTTGTCTTTTACTTTACCATAAACAGTCAAAGAGTGACTCAAGGTCAGATTTGGAACTGCTGTGAGTTGAATTTTATAACAACTTTATGCACCACCTTTCATGGAAAGACTCGCTTTACAGAATGATATTAATGAGAAATGAAGTGAATGTTGTTATCAAAGGCAAACATAGCAACTAATCTGCACCGGCACCATCTCACAAACAGTTATTTCTGGATAAAGATCAGTGACAATAAGGCAGGATAATTGCTAACAGTGAAATCAGGACTGGGAAAGAGTGAATTCTGGGGGAAGGGTAAAACTTTAGGCAAATTTCCTCACTCCACACACGCGCCTCTGATAACCTAGCAGTAAGGAGGAATCGATTGACAGCTCAGTTTCCGGAGGTAATAATCCCTTCAAAATAATAATAATAATTTGGTCACTCAATCCACGACTGTTTGTGGGACATTGCTGTGCGCAATTGGCTGCCGCGTTCGCCCACAAATGTACAGTCAATTCACTTTACAGTGTGTTCTGTGAAGCGCTTTGGGACGTCCTCCCGACGTGAAAAGCGCTATATCAAATGCAAGGATTATTATAGTCACTTTACAGTATATTCTGTGAAGCGCTTTGAGACGTCACAAAGACGTGATGAGGCACTGTAATAAATGCATTATTATAATTATTATTATGTTTCAGTTGTTGGTCAGTGCACTGTAGATAAAAAAAATGGAGTGAGGGGAGTTTGTGGACACCCTGTACACTTTCTCTGGTCTGCGGTTGAATCTGAAATAGTCACCGTCAGGTGGGGGGGAGGGGGAGAGCAAAAGCAGGGCCTCTCAATTTCAGAGTTTGCTTCTCCAGGAAGCCATCCAACTCTGATTTAAATTTCTCATGCCCTCTAATACTCTTTCTTTGCATGTGCTTGTCTACTTATTAATTGTCCCGGTTGTCTGTGCTCTGACCCAACAGCCAAATCTCCCCACACCCTGACATGTCTTAGAGAGAAGGTCTTCTGAATATCTTTATTTAGATATATATATATTATTGTTACTCACCTCGTCACAATTTTTAATTCATGCCCTTTCTTGTCCTTGAATCCCTTACAAGCAGAAAGAGGTTTTCCATGATTAACTCTTTCAAGCATTTTCATCATTTTAAACAATGTTTTTTGAGGGTCAGCCGGGTGTCTGACAGTCTCCAAACCCAACTGAGAATTCCACGCATCCCACCTCCGCATGGAAACCCCAGAGATAGATTGTCAGGATGGAATGTGCATCTGGAGGGACTCACTCTGCTTACCTAACTTCAGAGAGTATTAGATGCAGTTTGGCAAGATCCAAGGCTTGGGGACTCCAGAGTGTGCTTTTAGCTGGTTAGACTCTAGCAGTCACCCCAATGCACCCTCTGGGGTCCCCCAAGTCTTGGCTCTCGCCAACCTCGGCCTAATATGGAATTGGGTCAGGATGCGTCCCTCTAGGAAGAGAGAGAGAGAGCGCATTCCATTCCAACAAGCTGAGATTTCCATGTGTAGGTGGGATGCCTTAACATGTCATTGAGGCGCTTTACAGGACACACTGTAAAGCAAATTGACTGTATATTTTGTGGGTGAAACGCGGCAGCCAATTGCGTACAGCAGCGTCCCCCACAAACAAGGGATTGAGTGACCAAATCAATATTTTTTTTTGTAGTCTGCGTGGAGCCAGTTGAAGCTGCTGTGCCCTGACAAAGGGATCGGCTAAGGCATTCTGTTGCCTCTTTTTACTGCGACTTGTTTGCTTTGCCGTCTTTAAGTCTGAAAGCACAAAGCTGCTTTTGACCTGTGTGGTGCACTCAGGCTCGTGTTGGCTTGTCCCAGCAGGGGGAAAAACGCACAATAAGAAAAGAGGTTTTAGTTGGCACAATTAAAGACGTGAAGCACAACCACTGCTGGAAGAGATCTAAGGAAGCTCTTTACTTCTCTTGTTCAGCACAAATGTGAAGTTAATTGATGTGGGGATCACTCCTGCATAATAGAAACTCACATACAAGCCTCAGCGCTGCAGAGTCTTGTTTCCTGGCAATGCACCTCGGGCCAAACTGGTCCCTGGAAGTCACGGAATTAGAAAGAGTTTGACAGCAAATAGACCATTTGCCTCTGCCCGAATATGCTATGCGGATAGTCCCACATCCTCTCCTGTCCCCCACATCCCTTTCATACTTTCCCTTTCAAATCTTTGTCTGATTTTAGAAGCTTTGCTGAATTCTGCTTCCACCGGGAATGGTAGTCGGTGATTCCACACGTAAACGCCCCTCGAGTATGTCTTTTAAAAAGACAAATCTCTTAATCTCTCTCCCTTGCTTTCTTTTGGCAAAGATCTTAAATTCAAGACAAGCAGCCCGGTCCAGAAATAACTCTCTTTAAATCCAATTTCACTTGCTCTTTAACCACACTCTGTCCCTCTGCAAAGGGCTTGAGATCAGGCAGCTTGTGGATTCTAGCTTTTTATTCCACCCCCGTTTCCAGTTCTGACGCGCACTCTCCCGCTATCCCTCCCTCCGCCTGGCCCCCACCTTCAGCTCGTGCCTCAAGACCTTCCTATTCGACCGTGCCTGCAGTCACCTCCCGTTCCCCCTGGCTCGGCATCGTGCTACGCCACTGTCAAGCGCTCTGGGAAATGCAAGTTGTTGTGGTTGTTGCACGTTATTTTGCTCGAATTACAATCCAGCGCAAGTAAAAGGGTTTATCCCGGGCAAGTTTCCTTACTCCACACGCCTCGGTTTACCTAACAATAAATAGGAGCCCGGTTGTTAGTCGATTGGCGGATCACTTTCCGGGTGTCATAATCCCCCCCAAAAAAAATTGTTCGCTCAATCCTGTTCGCTGCTGTGCGCAATTGGCGTTTCACCCACAAAATACACAGTCAGTTCACTTTACAGTATATTCTGTGAAGCGCTTTGAAGCCTTTCAACGACGTGCGTGAGAAGGCGCTGTATCAAATACAAGGATTATTATTGATACTACAACCAGTCAAAGCTGAATCGATGTCTAGAGAAGAAGGAAGCAGCACAAAAGTGCAATGCGTTCCCCTTAAAGGGAAAGGTTGTGTTCGCTCTCTATCGAACCCTCTGCAGTCTGGGACGTTCGCAGTGTATGCGTGAGCTTTAAGTGCAGAATCAATGACCTTTTGAGAGTTTGTTTAACGCCTGATTGGATTAACTAGGTCTCTCCTCAGGGGACTTCCACTTAAAACACTGCCAGTTTCCCCTCTGTACCATTATGTTTTGCTACATAATTGATGGTGGGATGTGTGACAGATTAATTACTACTTGTCTGCACTGCTAGACTATCCTCTGCTCAAAGGGTGAGGAACCTGGGTGGAGCTGAACGCTTTGTTTTCCTCCAGTTAGTCTCTGCAAAGCAGTTAGTGTTTATTCACAAACCATAGCCAGTGCAGCGTAACTTGTGCGTGAGCTACAGGTTTTAGGTCAGGAACACGTCAAGGGTTTGAGCTGATCTGGAAATTTAAGCAGTTGGTTTAGTGTGTGTTGACTTGCATTCAACAACAACAACAAATCAGTTTGTAAAGCGCCTTTCACTTCAGGAGGACGTCCCAAGGCACTGGACAGTCAGGGATCCCGCACCTGAGCTGGGGATTGAGGTTAGGAGGGGTGGAAGGGGTGGGGTGGGTAATAATAATAATAATAATCCTTGCATTTGATACAGTGCTTTTCGCGTCTTCTCGACGTCTCAAAGCGCTTCACAGAATAGACTGTAAAGTGAATTGACCGTATATTTGTGGGCGAAGTAATAAATGTTCCTTGCATTTGATACAGTGCCTTATCACGTCTTTGAGACGTCTCAAAGCGCTTCACAGAATTTACTGTAAAGTGAATTGACTTTAGAATTTGTGGGTGAAACGCAGCAGCCAATTACTCACAGTAGCGTCTCACAAACAGCCGTGGATTGAGTGACCCAATTATTAGCCAATCGACTAACAACCGGGATCCTACTTACTGCTAGGTAAACAGAGGCTTGTGGAGTAAGGAAACTCACTGCCCTGACCTGCCTGGTACCCTGACTCCAGGACAAGGAATTAAAAAGCACAAGGAACAAAACTGCTGAACCGGTTTGCTTTTAAATCTGTTTATTTTAAAGGGAATAGTCCCATTTCTATGTGTTTTGTAGCTCATCTTGAATGCAGGGTCGAGATATCATTCGTACAAAAGTTCTGGCATAATGTAGCTTTAATGTGCTGATCATCCCTCCGACCACACCTACCTGCGGCTTCAGAGCGATTACGGAAGGCATGTTGGGGCAGCTTGGGTTTACTTTGGGTTTGGTGTAACTCATGACCTGATTGAGAGAGAACTGAACCTGACAATCAGACTTGTGATTTCACAATCTCAAAAGTATTCAATGTCGACTTCCTTTAAAGTTGGATGCCACAGAGAAAGTACTGTGGCTTCAGAATTACCACCCCCTCCCCTAACCCCCAGTTCAGAAAAACGGTAGGATTGTCAGCACCTTCTCACAGGGAATTCCAGGTCATCTAAAGCTGGAAATGCTACGATGCCACTTGCGAAAATATTCCGTGTTCCATGCTTCGATAGAGCCAGAGAATGATGCTGTTCTTTGAAGCAGTGAGACCAGTATGATTGTTGCAGTTGGGTAAGAGGTATGTGTGTGTCTCTCTCTCCCTCTTGATCTCTCTCTGTCTCTTTCTCACTCAGTGTTAGAGTAATAATGACTTGAACGTTCTCCTGCCACATTTAATAATTCTGATCGTTCCTAGAGAACACAAGTGTGAAAGAACCAGCAGGCAGGATATTCCAGTTTATTAATGGGTGAGGGAAGAGGGAAAGGGTAAGCGAAAAGAGGATATGCAATTTAAATTTGACCGCAACTTTCTGAGCTTTTCAAGTAATTTAAGCAAGTGCCCACTGAGAAGGGTTTTCTTTCTTTCTGTCATAATAATTATTATAATAATCCTTGCAGTTGATACAGCGCCTTATCATGTCTTCGGGATGCCTGAAAGCGCTTCACAGGATACACTGTAAAGATTGTTGACTGAGTATTTTGTGGGCATTTATAAGTTGGAAAGCTGCAGTTGAGGAGGTAACTGACATCCTTTTAGGATTACCAGGGGAGGTTTGTGTCTTTAAGAATCGAACGCCCACTTTACGGTGCACAATACGCTTGCCTTGACGTTGCTACAATTTCTCATACTTTATTTGGCCGATGAGGTGCTTCAACGAAGAATTGGGAAAGCCCCGCATTGTCGGAGACACCGTCCTTCAGATGAGACCTCAAACCGAGGTCCCGTCCGCCTATTTTCTGGTGGACGGTAAAGATTTCATCGCAACGATGGCATTTTTAAATAATGTAAAATAAAATTTCACAGGTTAAGATCAGTTGAATTTGAATCCTGCCCCCTCGCCCCCCCCACCTGCAATGGGGAAAAAACTCCGTGGAGTATTATGTGGCATGGGAACATAATAATGGGAAATAATCAGCTATTAGGAGTTGACATTGCTGAAGGCAATATGAGAACGGCTCATTGGAATTTGTTTCCCCTCAGGAGAACAGCAGGAAATCTATTCCCATTGCCTCTGGCATTGCACATGCTCTGGGAAGTGCCTTGGGGCAGCACATACTGTGTGTGCACTGGGTCGCTCTCCAGGGAAGGAAATGTTTGTTGCGAAGCACTCCATCCATGCTTTAGCTATCATTTATAATAATCTTGGCATTTCATACGGCGCCTGAAAGCGCTTCACAAGATATAATGTAAAGTGAATTGACTGTATATTCTGTGAGCGAAACGCGGCAGCCAATTGCACACAGCAGCGTCCCCACAAACAGCCGTGGATTGAAGTGAACAAATAATATTTATTTTGTTTGAAGGAATCATTACCTCCGGAAAAGCGATCTGCCAATCGACTAACAGTCGGGTTCCTACTTACTGTTAAGTAAACAGAGGGGTGTGTGTGGATTAAGGAAACTTGCCCAACGATTCACCATGACCGGAAATCAAACCCAGGCCCTCTGACTTGCCAGGCGAACGCTCTACCCACTGAGCTGTAGGACTCCACGTTGCATTCACCTTCAACATGTTTTGTTAAATGCCCAGGGGCAGCACATGCTGTGTGTGCACTTGCTCGCTCTCTGGGGAAGGGATTGTTTGTTGTGAAGCACTCCATCTATGCTTAAACTCATGTCTGCCTCGACTGAATTAAATTTTACAAGCAAATTATTCAGTTCAAACAATAAGTTTCCTTTGATGAAGAGCCAGAGCCGGAAATAGCCAGTCCACCTCGTCCTCTTGCTGTCCCCATAATAAATTAAAACTAATTTCTATTGGCGTTCTCTTTGAGCCTGATAAATGGTGGTATTCTTTTGAGCTGCTTTTTGAAAAGCAGGAATGTGGGCACTCTCTTTCCTTCACTGTGCACAGCCTGACCTTGAACCGGGAGTCATTTTCTAAAGGCTTTTCATCAGCCGCTTGAGTTTTGGTTGTCTTATTGGAGCTCCTTCGCGAATCCTGGGATCCAATCCTTGCTGTAGTAACAGAGAGGTATCCAGATTCTAGGTGGCTGAGGTATTCTGCTTGTAAGGAGAAGCACAAGAGAAATAGGGATTGGTTAGGGGCTTTGTGCCACACACACACTATTACTCTTGCTGTATAAATTCTGCTAAATGCCCCTCAATGTGCTCAGATTTTGTATTTGTCGAATTGTTACTTGGTTTTATCGTGGAGTCCTGTAGCTCAGTGGTTAGAGCACTCGCCTCGCAAGTGAGGGGACCTGGATTTGATTCACGGCCGGGTCAAGGCAAGACGTTGGGCAAGTTTCCTTACTCCACACGCCTCTGTTTACAAGCAGTATGTTGGAACCTCGTTGTTAGTCAATTGGGGGATTGCTTTTCCGGGGTTAATGATCCTTTCAAAAAAAAAACGATTTGGTCAGTCAATCCACGACTGTTTGTGGGACGCTGCTATCGGCAATTTGCTGCTACGTTTTGCTCACAAAACATAGTCAATTCATTTTACAGTATCTGTGAAGCGCTTTGAGACCTCTCGAAGTGATAAGGTGTTATATCAGGTAATGAGATTGCTGTCTTTGTTCGTTCTCTATAAATCTTTCTCTCTGACTCCTGCAGGGGCTGCTCTGAATTGTTTGAGATGCACACTTTGGATAATAAGGGTGAGAATGAAAGCATACCCCCTGGCCTGAGACCACCTTATCGCAGCAACGCCCTACACTGGAGCAGTGCAGACTCCCAAAGCAGCACTCAGTCCCAGCGATGGGCCGGGACTAGTCACCAAACACTGAACCGATCTCACAAGCAAGCAACCCCTGTCCCGTACAGCGATCCACAGGCCAAGAACAGCAAGAGGTAAGCAAATCCGAATTGAGAGCAAAACCATCAAATAATAGTAATCCTTGCATTTGATACAACGCGTTATCATTGTCGAGACGTCTCAAAGTGCTTCACAGGATATATAGTGTAAAGTGCAGTGACTGTGTATTTTGTGGGCGAAATGCGGCAGCCAGTAATGCAGAGCAGTGTCCCCCAAACGAGTTATGGATTGAGTGACCCAATTTTATTTGGGGGTGCGGAGGGATTGTTATCCCCGGAAAGCGATCCGACGATCGAATAAAACTAGGTAAGCAGAGGCCTTCTGATTCAGGTAGATGTGAAGGGGATCCTTCCTTCCATCCCCCCAACCACGATTTAAAAGAGAAATGAAATTTTCGTCCCACTTTATCGTGCCTTGTATATTCTCCTCAGCAAAACCAACCGTAAACTTTCCAGAGACTAGCGTCAATTGGCTGCTTGCTGCTTGAACCTCCATTCAAATTCCAGCCTCATTCTGTAAAGGGCTGTGGGCAAATTGCTGTGCTCAGTGCTGTTGTGTTGGCATTTACCAGCCTTTGCTGGAACCCGACATGAAAGGCGCTACACAAATGTAATTTTGTTTGTTGGTGCTGTATGTGTGTGTGGCTTGTGTGAGGGCCGCCTGTCTCACAGCAATGCTCTCCCCACGTCGTCTCTGTACTGGTTCTGGCTCAGTCTCTTAACTTTACACAGCTCGCTTTTCTTCCCCTTTGGGCCTTGTTCGTGCTTCTAAAGAAAGAAAAAAAAGCGTTCCTCCTAATCCTACAAAACTAATCCTTCTAATAAGGAATGAGATCAAAGGCAACACGCAGAACGCTCTTTAAGTGGAAGGAGATGTTGGTTCTGTTGACTGTTGGCCCGACCACATGCCTGCTGAGGAGAGTACTTCCATATGAACATACGCAATACAAAACAACGTTGACACAGCGACTTTGAATTGACTGTATATTTGTGGCGAAACGCGGCAGCCAATTGCGCACAGCAGCGTCTGTCCCGTGGATTGAAGAGACCAATTTCTTCTTATTTTTTTAAGGGATTATTACCCCTGGAAAAGGGATCCGCCAGTCGACTAACAACCGGGTTCCTACTTACTGCTGGGTAAACACAGGCGTGTGTTTGGAGTAAGGAAACTTGCCCAACGTTTCGCCCTGTCCTCCCAGGAATCGACCCCAGGTTTCTCGCTTGCGAGGCGAGTGCGCTAACCACTGAGCTACAGGCCTCGACTGTACACCTTACAGGTGCTTTTATGCCTCGTGGTCTATTTCTGTGCTGAAATCTCTTTGATTCTAAGAACCCATTTTAACCAAAACTGTGTCGCTCGTTCCTCTTGCGTTCCAGACCCGTCAGTTTCCCAGAGATGATGTACAATACAGCATCGCCGGCCGTGGTCGAAAGGATTCCTACATTTCGCAATCCCTCTAGTAGTTTCTCGTCTCCTGGCTCTGGAGGGGGTCAGTCCAGTCGACACAAAGTCCCTCCAGACAGGTAGGGATGACGTTAAACAGACCAGCTGGTCAGTCAGTCAAGCGGGTCAGATCAAAGCTACGCAAGAATAAGAATACTAATCCTGGCATTTGATAGTGTAGTGACTGTTTATTTTGTGGGCGAATGTGCACAGCAGTGCCCCACAAAGTCCGCCTTCAAAAACACAGCCAAGTCACTTTACAGTCTATTCTGTGAAGCGCTTTCAGACATCTCAATGACGTGATAAGGCGCTATATCAAATGCAAGAATTATTATTATTGTTATTTTTGTAAGGTTCTGTCGTTCTATTGTCTGTTTTCAAATACAAATCCCTAGAGGGATGCATCCTGCTTACCTAATTCCGGAGAGGATTAGGCGCAGGTTGGCGAGAGCCAGGGCTTTGAGTGTATGTTGAGGTAACTGCTGGAGTCTAACCAGTTAAAACCACATAACTTGCCCATTGAGAGCACTTACTGGCCAAGCTTTCCCGCTGCTTGTCCAGCTAGGACCACCCTGCCCGTTAGGGGGTTTGGCTTCCAGGGTTAATAGGAGCTGAGTGGGAGTATTTCCTGCCCCCAGTGACTTGTCATCGGGACGACATATGTAAATGTTACTTTGCATCTGAGAGGCAGCTTTAACATATTAGGCCATAAATTAATTCCTGGTTAATATGTAGTCCTGAAGCTTCAGTCTCACTCCTGGGTGTGTCATTATTCCATGGTATTTGGCTGGTACCCAAACAACACATTCCAACCAGGGTGAAGCTGCACTGAACCCTCTATATTTACCCTGGAAGACTCTTAATAGTGTACAGTTTCTTTAAAGAATGCCATACAGGTAAAACTATCCAACCTCCAATTGTATAGACCATACAACATTGCTCCTTTGAAATCCAAAAAACATTTCTGCAGAGATTGAAACCACCCTCAGATTACTGGATTAGATACAAGAGTTGAGACCACGTACAATGAGGTATTCTACCAGAGGAAATGGCTTTGTGCACCCAAGATAGTTCTTTTATAACAACTTGTATTTAATTAAGTTTTGTATCCTCCAGGGTGGGAGGCAGTGAGAGGCTTGTCAGACAGCGCTCTTAGTGACAAATTGTTTTTAGCTGGTTAGACTCCAGCAGTTACCCCAACGCACACTCTGGGCTGCCCCCAAACCTTGGTTCTCCAGAATTAAGTTAGCCACGTCTGTCCCTCTAGTGGGGGTGAGGGAAGCCGTGGTATAGAGAGAGTGCGCACTCCATTCCAGATATAGGGCAATGTTGCTTAGTGGTTGGAGCACTCAGTTCACAAGCGAGAAGGACCTTGGTTCGATTCCGACCCGGGTGAAACGTTGGGCAAGTTTCCTTACTTTACTCCACACACACGCCTCTGTTTACCTAGCAGTAAGTCTTCTAGACGTCTCAAAGCACTTCACGTAATATACTGTAAAGTGCAGTGACTGTGTATTTTCTGGGCGAAACGCGGCAGCCAATTGCGCATAGCAGCGTCCCCCCACACACAGTCGTGGGTTGAGTGACCAAATTATTATTGCTTTTTGGGGCTTTTTTTCATTCGTGTTAATGATGACTCACCTCCCCACACGTTATGAACAGCAGCTCAGTTGAGTCATTCAGGTGTGAGGTGGCGGATGAAATGCCAGAGGCAAAGGAATCTGCATCATTTCTTATTGCATCTTTTGCTTGAGTTCTGATGAAGGGTCGTGGACCCAAAACGTTGACTCACTTTCCTTTCTCCATGGATGCTGCCTGACCCGCTGAGTGTTCCCGGCCACTTCTGTTTTTGTTTTCATTTCTTGTTGCACCTGTTTGACCTGATATTATAAATGATCTAATCTGATAATTCTTGCATTTGATACAGCGGAGTATAGTGTGGAGTATACTGTGGAGTATAGTGACTGCATATTTGAGGCAAGTTGGTGGCTCTTCCAAAGAGCCAGCAAAGGCACGATGGGCCGAATGGCCTCCTTCTGTGCTGTAAGATTCTTATGATTCTATAAGGAAACCTTGTTGATTTATTGTGGGTGAACCAAGTGGTGCCTTTCACGTCGGGAGAACGCCCCAAGGAGTAGAGCTTTTCCTATGAGGGGATTATAGATACTGGTGGTTGACTAACTCAAGAAAGGCACACAGACCTTGAGGGCTGCCAATTGGAGAAAAGATGCCGTGTAATATATTAAAGAGCAATTATCTGTATAAAGTTGTGCTCTATAATATTCGGAGTGCTGTGAATTTTAACTGTTGAGGACGTTAGTCTTAAGATGACAATTGATGGCGCCAGAGGTTATTGCTGTGTGCTGTTTGTAACAAACGAGCGATAGAATCAGCTTCTAAAAGGTTAGTGAACGTACGTTAGACCTGCAAATGATTTAGTCTTCATTTTTTACCCCCGGAAAAGCGATCTGCCAATTGACCAATAGCCGGGTTCCTACTTATTACAACTAGGTAAACGGAGGCGGGCATGTGTGTGCAGTAAGGAAACCTGCCTAAGGTTTCACCCGCCCCGGAATCAAATCCAGTTCCTCTCGCTTGCGAGTAGAGTGCTCCAACCACTCACTCCACAACGCTTGTGACCTGTTAAATCACAGTTGACGTTCTGTGCGTTTCCCAACAGGTTTGGGCAGCCTGGTCTGCGCCCGCTCCCACCTTACGAATACCACAGCAGAGATGAGGTGATGTCGAGTGGAGATTCTTCTTCCGGAGGATTGACAAGCCAGGAGAGCACGATGGAACGCATCAAACCCGGTACTGAATCCCTTCAATAAAATGAATAAATAATAATAAAATTGATCACTCAATCCACAGCTGCTGTGCGCAATTGGCTGCCGCTTTTCTCCCACAAAATATACAGTCACTGCACTTTACAGCATATCCTGTGAAGGGCTTTGAGACGTCTCAAAAGACTGATAAGGCGCCGGGTCAAATGCAAAGATTGTTATTGTTATTGACCTGCGTGCGGGCTTTCATGTCCTCATTGCGCACAGCATTGTCCCACAAACAGTCATGGGTTGAAGTTAACCTTAATTATGGGGTACAACCCCACCGGAGAGCTGTGTTCAGACCCTGCGACTTTCAACACTTTCGAAAAATCCCTCTGTCTCACTTTGTCGGCAGCTGTGACCTGGACTTGCTCAATTGTGTGTGTTTTTTTATATATATATTATATATATATATATTTATGTGTGTGTGTGTTTATATACTGTAATCTTTTATTAAAAAAAACATTAATTTTTACATTAAAGAGTAACTGTGTCAGAGCAGTGCGTGTGTGTGGTCCATGTGCTATTATGTTCTAGAAAACAGCTGAGGTGTGTACTTTGGGGCTGGGAAGAGTAAAAGGCCCTTTAGTTCCTCTGCAGCTGTGTTTTTGTACAGCGAGGTTAACCCCTTAACTGCTGGGACCTTACACTTGCTGCTTAGATGATCTATCCCTCCGCCTTGCCCCCCCTCCCAACTTCAGATCGCGCCTGAAGACCTTCCTCTTCGACCAGTGCCTACGGTCACCTCGCCTCGGCGGCGTGCTCTACCAGCTAGGACCATGCTACCCTTTAGGGCTTTGGCTTGCGGGGATAACAGGAGCTGAGTGGGAAGATTCACTGCCCCCAGTGACTGGTCTGCCCTTCCAGGTCCTGCCGATGAGCCAAACTGGCTCAGGAACCGGACTGGAGACCGCCACAAAGGGCTGGCTCAATACTGACATTCCATTGCCAAACATGGAGTCAACACAGAAGTGGCAGGGAACACGCAGCAGGTCAGGTCAAGCAGCATCTATGGAGAGAGGAAAAATGAGTGAACGTTTCAGGTCCGTGACCTTTCGTCAGAGCTCCGCTGCGTGTTCCCAGCCACTTCTGCGTTTATTCCAGATTTCCTGCATCTATATTTTTGTCTCGTGTCACCCTGGAGCCAGTTCAGCTCCAAGGAGACCCCCTTACTTTCCCACCCCCACCCCACCCCACCCACCCCAAGGAGGATAGTAATTGAATCCCTTTGTGTTACAAAGCACTAAACATGCTGTTACTTTTGTTTGTGCGGTTGGGAATCAGACGTTGGGTTTGAACCACAGCCAGTCTTACACACCCTTGTGCTGGCATGAAGCATTGCGTTATTTGACGTTTGAATTTCACGATCCCTTTCAGAGCCCCTGTGGCATGTCCCGACGGCGTCCAAAGTTTACCCAACCTCTGGGAACAACGTTAACAAAAGACTCCCCAGACAAGATGCAACAGGCAAGGATTCCCCCAACAGACATTCCAAAGTAAGTGTCTCACTTTTATATCCAACTGGGGCTGACCTGCCAGGCCCACTTTACAGTATAAGTAAGTTTCTTTATTCCACCCACACACACACACGCTTCTGTTTACCAGCAGTAAGTAGGAATCCAGTTGTTAGTCGATTGGCGGATCACTTTTCCTGGGGTAATAATTCCTTTTAAAAAAAATTCTTTAAATTGGTCACACAATCCACGGCTGTTTGTGGGACGCTGCTGTGCGCAATTGGCTGCCACGTTTCGCCCACAAAATATACAGTCAATTCACTTTACAGTGTATCCTGTGAAGCGCTTTGAGACGTCTCAAAGACGTGTGTCGAATGGAAGGATTATTATTATTCACTCACACAGGTTCTGTAGGGCTCATTCTCACTGTGAACGCACAATGCTTTGAGGCAGCCATCCTCCCAATGCAGCCCTACTCCCCTTCTTCTAAGGCTGAATCAAACTGACAGGCCACCCCTATAAGAATAAATAATCCTTGCATTTGATACAGCGCCTTATCGCGTCTTTGAAATGTCTGAAAGTGCTTCACAGGATACACTGTAAAGTGAATTGACTATATTTTTGTGGGTGAAATGCAGCAGCCAATTGCGCACAGCAGCGTCCCACAAACAGTCATTGATTGAGTGACCAAATTTTTTTTTAAGTTATTATTACCCCTGGAAAAGTGATCTGCCAATCGACTAACAACCGGGTTCCTACTTACAGTTCCTTAACAGAGGCGTGTGTGTGTGTGGAATAAGGAAACTTGCCCAACATTTCGCCCCTACCCGGGCCAGGAATCAAGCCATGTCCTCTCGCTTGCGAGGCGGGTACTCTAACCACTGACCCACAGGACTCCACGCCTTCTGCCAGCTGCACTTTGCAGAGGCCGCAGACTGGAATGTGGAGCTGAGCTCATCGTGACACGTGTCTGCGAACTGCTTGTGTGCTGGACACAGCTTTGGGCCCTTGGCTGTTGCCAAGAGATTAGCACTGCTTTAGAAAGGCCATTTGCTTGATCCCATTTTTACAAGAGAGAGAGAGAGAGAGAGCTTGGCCACTGACTGTAATCCGTGTTTGTGCAAATGTCTGAGTAATGACAATATAAATCCGTTTTCCTGAGAGGGAGAAGGGGAGAGAGAGAGAGAGAGAGAAATCCGCACTGAAATATAATTTGAAGCCATTTGTGATCTGTGGCTCTGAAGAGACGAGACTTTCCTGTTTGTGGCAGTCAAAATGTCAGCGATTTCCAAGTCCCATTCGAGGTGGCGATAAATACTGTTCCAGAGGGTGGGGGCAGAGAAGCTGAAGGCCCACCCGTTGATGGTGGGGTGGACCAGGCAGGGGACGTGGAGCAGGCCGGAGCCTGCTTGATAGGCCAATCGGGCAAGATTATTACAATATTTGTGCTGTAATAATCTATCACTGTCCAGCGCTCAGGGATGTCTTTCAGACGTGAAGGATCTTATACAAGTATAATTTGTTGCTGCTGCTGTTGTCATGGATAATGTTTTCTCTATGATTTTTGTGCCACTTTTCCGTTAACAGGGAGACAACCATTATTCCAGCCAGTCCAGCAGCAACACCCTGTCCAGCAACGCCTCGAGCAGCCACAGTGACGAGCGCTGGTTTGACAACACGGAGCATTTGGAAGCTGATCTCGAAGCCTCGGTAAAGGCGACCTCGAGTGACAGTGGCATCGATACCACACTGTACGGGCCAGGGTCATACACCTCAGCTACAGCCAGACCCAGCCACCGCAGAGAGAAATCCCAGAAACCCATGCCCACCTCCGCCACTTACTGCGGACTGCAGGACTATAGCAACAGGACCTCTGACCGGAGCTCTGGCCACTCGGAGAAGAGGAGAGAGTCCTCGCCAGCGCTACACGCCAACAACCAGAATAGGTTCAGGGCCAAAGTCTACTGTGCTCCCAGGAACATGAGCTCCGGCTTCGGTGTGAATAGTGGCGCGGAAAATTCACAGCTGAGGTAACAGCGACATCTGTTCATTCCTTGTTATTATTCCCTTCCAAAAAAAAATAATAGTGCTAATTTGGTCACTCAATCCACTACTGTTTGTGGGGACGTCGCTGGGCGTAATTGGCTCCCGCATTTCGCCCACAAAATACACAGTCACTACACTTTACAGCGTATCCTGTGAAACGCTTTGAGACGTTTCGAAGACATGATAAGGCGCTGGGTCAACTGCAAGGATTATTATTGTTGTAACAATCTTAATTGTTAATGCAATGTAATTTACACTTACACAGTGCCGTTCACATCGGGAGTGGGGGTGGGGGGGAGAATGAACTAAAGCACGTTCAGAGAGGTGGGTTTACAAATGTGGCTTGAATGGAGCGAGGGAGGGAATCAGGTGGGCTCTGGGATGGAGTTCCAGAAAGCGGGGCCAGAATGGCTGAAAGCCCGATGGGGGAGGTGGATAATCTATATATAATAGTAATGTAATAATCTCTAATCTTTGCATTTGATTCCACGCCTGAAATAAGTCTCGATGTCGTTCATGTGAAGTGCAACAACAACAGATTGCATTTATATATTTACACATCGCCTTCCAAAAATGTTACTAAAAAATAATAATTTGGTTGCTTAATCCACGGCTGTTTGTGGGGACGCTGCTGTGTGCAGTTGGCGGCCGTGTTTCACCCACAAAACAGTCAATTCACTTTACGGTGTATCCTGTGATGCGCTTTTGAGACGTCTCGAAGACCTGATAAGGCGCTGTATCAAATGAGAGGGTTATTATTATTATTCATCTGAACCAACCTTGTGATGGGTTTCTNCCCCCAGCCCTGCGAGCTTCGGATCGGGACACTCGCCCAATATATACAAGACCCCGTCAGCAGATTCCTCTCGTTTACCCAACAGTTCTCTGCTTTCTACCTCCGCCCCCAAATCCTTCTACTCCTACCAGAATGTGAAGAACGTGTGTCCTGCGGGATGGAAAAAGCCGTCAAACACACCGAGTCGATCCTCCGGATTCACCGATATAAAAACGTAGGCATTTCGCACCCGGCGCCGGTTACAGCTCCTTTGTCTTGAAAGTGATTTTAAATGTTAAAAAGTTATTATCAATAATGGTGATATTCCTGACATTTGATGCAGCGCTTTATACAACTCAGCACAACGTGGCATTTACACGGCGTCTCTCACGTCAGGAGGACATCCCAAGGCGCTGGACAGTCAGGGATTTGGACCCGAGCTGGGGGTTGGGATCAGGAGGAGGTGGAGGGCGGGGAGGGTGGGGGTTGGAGGGTGACCGAAGTATGCAGTTGGTCGAAGAGGAGGGTCTTGAGATGTGCCTTGAAGGAGGCGAGGGAGGGGGGGGGGCGAAGAGGAGGGAATGTGGGATGGAGTTCCAAGGGGTGGGTGGGGACAGAGAGGCTGAAAGGCCTGACCGCTGAGCGGAGGGAGAGTACAGGTTGCTGTGAGACGTCTCAAAGCGCTTCACGGAGTTTACTGTACAGCGAATTGACTGTATTTTGTGGGCGAAACATTAAACATTGGGCACGTGAGCTGGGGGTGGGCAGTGGCCCAAAGCACTGTGAGACGTGTCTTGAGCCCCTCTTTCTTGCTCCTCTTTCCTCTCGACTCAGCTTACAGAATGCACAGTCACTACACTGCACAGTAAAGCTCCCGCGAGGCCTCGATGATGAGATTATTATATAACTGTTGTGGTTCGTGTCCAGGGTGGTGTTGCTCACTGTCGCCCTCCTGTGGCTAAGCCTTGCCATTGCATAGTAGGAGGTGGCTATCAGTCAGAGATTAGCTCAATACCTCACCTTCCCATCTACCCATCTCAGCATCTCAGCATCACGCTGCTGTATAAATAAATCCCTGACCTCCATCAAGCTTCCTGGCAACGTGGAGTCCTGGATATTAGTTGTTAGAGTGCTCACCTCGCCAGCAAGAGGACCTGGGTTTGATTCCCGCCCAGCTGGGCTAAACGTTGGAAAAGTTTCCTTACTCCACACACACACACACACACACGCGTGCGTCTCTGTTTATCAGTAGTAAGTAGGAACCCGGTTGTTAGTCGATTGACGGATCGCTTTTCCGGGGGTAATAATCCCTTCAAAAAAGTAATGCGAACAAGTTTCCTTACTCCACAAGCCTCTGTTTACCTAGCAGTAAGTAGGAATCCGCAGGTGCCTTATCACGACTTCGAGACATCTCAAAGCGCTTCATAAAGTGAACTTAATTTATATTTTATAATAATAATAATAATCCTTGCATTTGATATAGCGCTTTTCACGTCGGGAGGACGTCCCAAAGCGCTTCACGGAACACACTGTAAAGTGAATTGACTGTATATTTGTGGGCGAACGCGGCAGCCAATTGCGCACAGCAATGTCCCACAAACAGTCGTGGATTGAAAATGACCAATTTATTATTGTTTTTGTTTTGGAGGCATTATTATTGGGCTCTGTGTGGGGTAAGGAAACTTGCCCAAGGTTTCGCCCTCTGCCTGGAATTGAACTCAGGTCTCTCACTTGCAAAGCGAGTGCTCTAACCACTGAGCTACAGGACTTTTGTGGGCCAAAACGCAGCAGCCAATTGCGCACAGCAGCGTCCCCACAGACAGTTGTGAATTGGAACGACCAAATTATTATTATTTATTTGAAGGTATTATTACCCCCAGGAAGCAATGCGGCAATCAACTAACAACCGGGTTTCTATTTACTGATCGGTAAACAGGCGTGCACGTGTGTGTGTGTGTGTGTGCGTGTGGGAGTGGGGGTGGGGGGGTGGTGGGGAGTAAGGAAACTTGCCCAACATTTCGCCCTGACCTGACCCGCCTGGGAATCAAACCCGGGTCCTCTGGCTCGCGAGGCGAGGGGTCTAACCCCTGAGGGACTCCACATTTAACATATTAACCTTGATCTTTCTGTGGGCTGGTTGGGAAGTCATCTATTGGAACTCGGCTGAACATGTTGGGGAGGCGCAGCTGGTTCCCTGTTCACATGGAGGGAGGGTGGGACCTGAAACAAACATGCGGTGAGATTACAAGGAGCTGCCTGCAGTGAGCGAATGCTCTGGTTAAAGTGGTTACAGGTTTGGCTTCCCGAAACCCCGTTAACCAACTGCTCGTAAATCCCTGCTGGAGAAGCAGCTCGCCAGGTCTCAGAGGAATGCCTGAGTTACTAGGTGGGAAGTGGTGCAGAGCGAGCTCTCAACCCGAGAGATAATCGCAAACAGCCTCGCTTGCCGAAATCTCAGCGTTTCAGTTACCGTACTCTCACTCGCTTTTCCTCCCACAAGGGTAGGGGGGGAATGCGGAACGCACCACCCCACGTGGCAGCAGGTGGGGAATCGATCGGGAAGTTTAAAAGGCAGATGGATAGACCATAATACTACTACTACTAATAATAATAATCCTTGCATTTGATATAGCGCTTTATCACGTCTTCGAGACGCCTCAAACAACTGTACAGTTTGCGGGTGAAATGCGGCAGTCAATTTGCGCACAGCGGTGTCCTACAAACAAGTCGCGGATTGAGTGTTTTTTAATTTATTGCGGAAGGGATTATTACCCAAGAAACCTATCTACCAATTGGCTAACAACCGGGTTCCTACTTACTGCTAGATAAACAGAGGCGCGAGTGTGTGTGTGTGTGTGTGTGTGTGGAGTAAGGAAACTTGCCTAAGGTTTCGCCCTGACCCAGCCGGGAATCGAAACCAGGTCTTGCGAGACAAGCGCTCTTAACCATTACATTACATACTCCACAAATGATGGTGATGTCTGATAAAAAGTGTGTGTGTGTGTCTCACCGTCCTGGAGCTTACACAGGTACACAGCTTGATCAACGACATGTGGGTAGCAAGTCTCTGGCAACATCAGCAGCAGCATTCCAAATCTGCTAGTGGTTTCCCTTCCGTCTGAAACCAGTTAGCCGGAGAATTGGTCTGGCATTTCGAGCCCAAACCAGATTTACAGTGCATTTGGGAGAGAGTGAGAGGGAGAGAAAGGGGAGTAGGGTGGGGGGTGAGGTTTGAGGCAGAGTCTGTATGTGAAGCACCGGCCCCAACGTCTATTCCGTGGGAAACGTATTAATGTTTTATTTTGTACAAAACCACCACTGCCTTTTGTCAACCATAAAAGGGCAGAGAGTGTGGGGCAAGTCGAGCTTTCTACAATAGTTCAGCTGTGTCTGGAACTGTGTGGAGATGGGCCTCAATTGCCCATATGGTAACGGTAACATTTTATTAACAATAATAATTCTGGCATTTGACCCGGCGCCTTATTATGTCTTCGAGACGTCTCAAAGCGCTTCACAGGATGCACTGTAACGTGTGGTGACTGTATATTTTGTGGGCGAAACGCGGCAGCCAATTGTTCACAACAGCGTCTCCACAAACAGCTGTGGATTGAGTGAGCAAATTATTTATTTTGAAGGGATTATTACACCCGGAAAAGTGATCCGCAAATTGATCAACAGGCGGGTTCCTACTGACTGCTGGTGAACAGAGGTGTGTGTGTCTGTGTGGCGGGGTGTGGGAGGGGGGAGAGTAAGGAAACTTGCCTTCGCCCTGACCTGACCCGTCCGGGAATGGAACCCGGGACCTGTCGCTTGCGAGGCGAGGGCTCTAACCCCTGAGCTCCAGGACTCTGACCAGTGCTCTTCATTCTGTGTGGGCTCCTCAGAAATTCCAACAGCATCGCTGCTACCAATGTCTTCGGACAACCGCGACTGCGAGCCTCGCTGCGAGACCTGAGATCTCCTCGCAGAGCTCACAAGTCAACTCTGGAAGAGGATCTGAAGAAGCTGATCGTGTTGGATTGCCCTTTGGCTGAGCCTGAGCCGGACATGCATGTGAGTATAATAATAATAATAAATAATAAATAATAATCCTTGCGTTTGACACAGCGCCTAACGAGACGTCTGAAAGCGCTTCACAGGATACGCTGTCAAGTGTAGTGACTGTGTATTTTGTGGGCCAAACACGGCAGCCAAGTCGCGCCCAGCTACGTCCCCACAAACGGTCGTGGGTTGAGCCACCAAATTATTGTTAAGATGGTTATTATATTATCTAATATAACGATATATATCTTATCAGTAATCAATTAGCCGTTTGGTGGATGGCTTTTCCGGGGTAATAATCCCTCCCTCCTCTCCCCCCCCCCCCCCCAAAAAATAATAATTTGGCCGCTCAATTCACATTGCATTTGATACAGCTTCGAGGAGTCTCAAAATATACTGTGTGCCGTGTTGTGCTGCGACAAGGGTTTGTGCCTCAATTGCCTACATTGTAAACATCCTGTTGCCTCCTTCCCCCCTCTCTCTCTCTCTCCGCAGTTCTCTCCCAGGAAGGCCCTACAGAGGACTCTCTCGGACGAAAGTATCTGCAGCGGGCGGAGGGAGCCCAGCTTCTGCAACCCCCAGATGGCAGCTCTCAACCAGGCCCTGCCCAATGATGTCATCTTCACCAGCACCTACCCTTCCCAAACCCTGCCCAGCCGACGAGCAGCCCAGCCCCCCGCAGCCCTGCCCTTGGAGAACAAACGTAGGCACAATTATTAATAATAATAATAACCTTGCATTTGACATAGCGCCTAATCACCTCATCCAGTCAACAACAACCACAGATTACACTTGAGTAGCAAGTCCCCGTCACGAAGGGAAGACCTCCCAGGTCACTGGACTGAAGGGTTCAAATTATTTTTTTTTTTGAAGGGGATTATTATCCGTCAATCGACTAACAACCGGGTTCCTACTGACTCCTGGAAAACAGAGTGTGTGTCTGTGCGTATGTGCGTCTGTGAGTGTGTGCGTCTGTGAGTGTGTGCGTCTGTGAGTGTGTGCGTCTGTGAGTGTGTGCGTCTGTGAGTGTGGGTCTCTGTGTGTGTGTGCGTCTGTGAGTGTGTCTGTGTGTGTGTGCGTCTGTGTGTAGATTAAGGAAACTTGCCCAACGTCTCGCCCTACCGGGCGGGAATCAAACCCGGGTCCTCTGGCTTGCGAGGCAAAGGGTCTAACCCCTGAGCTTACAGGGATTCCACGAATAATAGTAACTGAGTAATGGAAACCCACAGAGGTCCCGCTGTAGCTTTCTCAGAGCGGGAGCTTGAGCAGTGAGCTGACTAAACAGAGCATTGCTATTATGATCGTTAGCTTTAAACCCCGGGAATAGAGCAGCGATTTAACGGCTCCTGATTTCGGACTCGGTTGGGGATTCTTGTTTATAAACAAGGCTCTCAAAACCACCTGTGTTCTCTTTGCTCTCAGCTAATCTGTCTGCCTCGGATTTGTCCCTGACTGACGTGAGAGAGCGGCTGAGTGTGCGACCCCCCGAGCTGGGATTGATGCTTCTCCCCGACCCTGAATCCGAGCTGGAATGGGCTAATTTGGTCAGCGTTGCCAAAGCTTACGAAGGTAGGATTTCACACTGACTCGCGTTAAATCTCTCCCCCCCACCATTCGCCACATCTGTCCTTCCCCATCGTCAGGTCGTGCCTGAAGACCTTCCTCTTCCACCGTGTCTACGGTCACCTGCCCCCTCCCTGCTGCTACTCGTGTGTCCCTCTCACATTCACTATGTTCCCCTCCTCTCTCTCTCACTCACACAAACACACTCTCGCTCGCACTCTCACTATATGTTTCTCTCTCACACACGTTCAATGTTTCTCAAACACTTGTACACACTGGATGTTCATCTCTCTCTGACACACACACGCATTCTCTCTCACTCACTATATGTTCCCCTCTCACACTCTCTCTCTCTCTCGCGCGTGCACACACATATCCAGCATCCATACACAGGGAGAGAGTTCCAGATTTGACACGGGGTAAAATGGAGTCGATGTCGAGAGCCTCAGAATTCACTGATCGTCCTTTTTATTCTCTCTCTCTCGCAGTCCAGAGAGCGATTTCCCTCTTCTCGCTCAACGAAGCAGCCAGTGGCTCAGAGCTGCATCAGTGCTGCCCAGTGCACCCGCACATGAGCGTGGAGCGTAAGGGTTCCCCCCGATCGGTGCACAGCGGTGGGTAAGTACTCGCTCCTCGCAGGCCTTCAGCCTCTCTGCCCCCCCCCCCCGCCCACCCTCTGGAACTCCATCCCACAGTCCCACCGCCTCGCTCCCTCCCTCCCTCCCTCCCTCGCCTCACCTCCTTCAAGGCCTGCCTCAAGACCCTCCTCTTCGACCAACCGCGCCTTCGGTCACCCCCCTCCCCCTCCCTCCCCGCCTTCGGAATACTGTGGACCAACCTGGAGACTGTCACAGTGTTTGGGAGGTTTCTGACCGTTAAAACCCCGGCTTTTTTTTATTGCAGGGATGAGCCGGGCCTGGCGCTGACTGGGAAAGTGTATCAGCTGGAAATCCAACTGAGACAGCTTCAGGATGATCTGCTGAAGGTGAGCGCTGGGCACTGCGGGACACTGCCCTGCGTGAGGGACGCTGTACAAACACTAGTTGTTGTCGTGGCTGTCGCTGTCACCTCACTGCTACATTTTACTACTGTGCTTTCTCTTCTCTATCCCACAACTACAACTCCCCACCCACACTCCCCACACCCCCCACACCACACACACACATACCCCCTCCCCCCCCACCCCCTCCCCACACACACTCTTTCCCCCCACACACACACCCTCCCCCCACACTCACACACACAAACACCGGCCCTCCCCAACAATCGCCCTCCCCCCCCCCCCCACACACACACACACACTCACCCTCCCAATTGACCCGGCGCCTGATCACATCTTCGGACGTTTCAAAGCCCTTCACGGGACATGCTGTAAAGTGTAGTGACTACGTTTTGTGGATGAAACGCGCCGGCTGATCGTGCCCAGCAGCGTCCCCACAAACAGCCATGAAACAATAATAAATATATAATATCATTAATGATAATTAATATTAATAATGAATAAGGAATCTTCTCTCCACAGGAGAAAGAAGACAAGGTGGCCCTGCAGGCGGAGGTGGCCAACCTGCGGGTGAACAATCAGCGGCTACATGTGGAATCCCTAACAGCCACCGAACAGCTAAGGAAATTCGCTGAGATGTTCTCAAGCAGCATGGAGAGGAAATGATGGACACCCTCACTTACTCGATCGCTCCCTCCCTCCCTCCCTCCATCCCAGAGATTCTTCATTTCTTTTACGGCTCTGGAGCAGCGATAACGTCCCGAACAGGAAGTTTCACAAAGGGACGAGAGAGGGGGAGAGAGAGGGAGCAATCACCCACACACGCTCATCATCCTGCTCCTTCGAAGAGTGACTTTTAGGGGTAGTGTGTGGGTGAGAGAGAGAGTGTGAGTGTGTGGGGGTGGGGGGGGGCGGGTAGCCAAACTCACTCCCCTTCCCACTGGATGGGGGGAGGATGGGGTGGGGGGGAAGAGTGAGAAGACATCCTACCAATATTGACCAATATTGATTGGACTACCGACTGCAACTGATGGCTGTAGTCGTCACTGTGTGTGTGTGTGTGTGTGACTCCCACCCCCCCCCCTCCTCTCCTCCCCAAACCCAGCGCTCAGAGACCCCCCCCCCCCACCCCCTTTCAATCGTACAGCAGCTCAAGTGAGGTAAAGGCTCCTGTTTGCATGCAGCTCAGAGCCAGCCAGCCTTTGCATGTACCATAGAACCCTAGACATTTGCAGGAAATCAGACGGTGATGATTTGGTGCCACAGGTGCCTGTGGCTGCTCTCCCTGTGAGCTCTCACTCTCTGTGTTTAGTCCCCAGTTTGGCGGGAATGGTGGGAATGTGTCCTGGGACGAAATCCAGGCTATCGTTTGAGTTTTGCGCTGTGGAGATCTCCCCTCCAGAGCAGTGAAGGCTGGTTCTCTGTCTTTCGGAGAGCAAGCATTTGATGTGCCCAGTGACTGGTGGGTGACGGGAGCAGAATTGGACTTAAAATTGAGAGATTTTTTTCCCTTTATCTGTCTCTAAACCTGCTTGTGAGTGTCTGCCCCCCCCACCCCGCCTCGCTCGCTCGCTCGCTCACTCTACACTAACCACACCAATTAGAGAAAAGGTCTCCAAAGGTATTGACTGTCCATCATGCTGGGTGGAGACGGTGTGTGGGGCTGAGAAAGGAAAAGGAAAGCAGTATTAATCTCTCAAGCATTAACTGAGTCTGGCTCCAGGAGGTGAGGCAGTGGGTGCATTGACTTCAACAGTCTCTCGCTTAGACCAAGTATATTTTTAAGGCGGAGATTAGATCAGCAATGTTTCTTCACTTTGTCTCCCTCCCCTCCCCTCCCACCCACTCGATATCATCTCTGTGGCTCCCTCCAGTTCGATGTGACGGAACATTTTAATTGGGATTTTGTTAGAACTCTCGGTGGCGAAGGCATCAGTGTCAACAATACACCTCTGGAGTCCTCACTGCTCCTTGCATTGTGCAACCAGTCGGTAAGGTTACTGGAGAAACCCAAACAGTACTTGTGCCCAGAGCCAAATAAATATTGGATGGGTTCCCTTCACCTGTTTTTCTCTCCAGTCCTAAAGGTGTTAGCCGCCTCCTGCAGAAGGCTCTTCTGCAGTGTCCTATGTCAGCACCGGGCATCGTCCTTTATCTCGCATGGAAATAGGAGGAGCATGTTCCGCCATTCTATTCTATAAGATCATGGCTTGTCTGTACCTCAAGTCCAGTTACCTGCCTTTGCCCCATATTCCTTAATCCTCCGACCCAACAAGCATAACCCCAGTGATCGCTCTCCTTAAAGCGAGCTGTCCGTTAGGATTGCGGAGGTTTTTCACGGCTGAGCCTTAGTCCTATCTCGGCCGTGTTCACACACACACACATCCCTCCCTCCGATTGGGAGCCACCGCTGTTTCCCCCCCACTTCCCCAGCCCCACCCCACCCCCCTCTCTAGCGCAGCAACACTGAGGACAATGTCATGCCCTCTTGCCTCGCGTCACCTCCTTTAAGAACGTCAACCCTAGGGTGCCTTCCTGGTCTTTGTGGCTCCAGCTGCTCCCTGGACAAACCCACTCCCTGAGCCGTCAGGATCGAGCTCCAGGACAGGAGGGTTTCACCCCACAACCCGGCTGGTTGGGGCTCTTCCCGAATGCCAAGGGTTTCGTGCCCACACATCGCATCTCACTGAGGGCTCTGTCTCCTCAGCTTGCGATTGAGCAGAAAATCAATACTCCATCCTCAATAGTGGCAGACAGACAGACAGACAGCCAGACAGCCAGAAGATTCCTCCCTTGATAGAGAGGGTTGTGTAAGGAGGAGTGTGTGAGCGAGAGAGAGAGAGATTGAAAAGACAGAGGTTGCCTGTGGGCCAGTCGTGGAGCTGAATAAACAGTGTGAGAGAAACACTGACACACGCAGCTCCAATGCAGAAAGCTACTTTTATACAAGTCGGCACTATTGTGGGTTCTGTAATCACAATCCAATACAGACGCGTTCACACATCGGGAGGACGTCCCAAAGCACTGGACAGTCAGGGATTTGGACCCGAGCTGGGGTTCAGGTTGGGGGGGGGGGTTTAATGATCTGTATGTCACTGTACACGGAGAAATCACCTTGTGTGATACCAGAAGATGAGAGAGAGTGTGATCACCCGTCTCTTAGCGTTCAATAGGAAGTTTTGAAAAGCACTTTCTCACACAAACTAAATTATTTTCTAGCGAAATGTCCATTGTAAGATGACGGCTCAGGAAGTTTGGACCCGACGACTGTAAAAATGAAAGCCCTTTGTATACACTTATATTTGTATAAATCGTTCAAGGTTTTTGAAATCGTTTAAATCTAATCTGCGGCCGGACTGAATCCTCAACTGCCAGAGTTCCGGAATTTTCCCAACCAGGAATGCTCATTACCCCCGGCGTGAAGCCGGTGTGTGTGTGTGTGTGTGTGTGTGGTGGGGTGGGGGGCGGAAATGGATAGAAACGCATTGAATTTGTTGCTCGTTGATCCCAGGGTAATAAGGCAGCGTTCAGCCCCTGTGGCTGCAGCCTTTTCGACTCGTTGACCCGCAGAATGTGCTGTGTAATCGTTCTCCCTCAGCAACAAGTTGCGGAACAGTCACAAACAAAGCCGACATTCCAGCGTCCTGTGTCCATCGCAGATCACTCCCGAGTCTTTGTGCTCGTGGAGCTGTTTCCAGATTGTACCGGGGTTTTGGCGCAGAGGGGAGGGAGAGGGCAATCAGGAGTGAACGATAGAAACAGGGACAGCGCCCAGACCGTGCTTTATTAACGATAATAAATAAATAATAATTTGGTCACTTCAAGCCACGGCTATTTGTGGGGGACGCTGCTGTGTGCAATTGGCTGCCGCATTTCGTCCGCAAATACACAGTCGCTACACTTGGCAGTGTATCCCGTGAAGCGCTTTGAGACCTTTCGAAGACGTGATAAGGCTCTGTGTCAAATGCCAGAATTATTACTGATTATTTCCATTTTGTGCCCACAAACTACACAGTCACAACACTTTACGGTGTGTCCTGTGAAACGCTTTGAGAGGTCTCAATTGTATGACGAGGCTCTGTATCAAATGCATAGATTATTATTATTATAATTCAGCCGCTCGAGCCTGTTCCGCCATCCATTGCTGATTTGTGCCTCAACTCCAATTGCCCCATAACTTGATCCTCTGACCTGACAAAACATCCATCCAATTGTGTTTATATATCGCCTCCCACGCAGCGTAGTGTCCCAGAGCGCTAATAATCTAACAATAATAACCTTTCCATTTGACACAACTCATTATCACGTCTTCGAGACGTCTCAAAGCGCTCCACTGGACACGCTGTAAAGTGTAGTGACTGTGTGTTTTGTGAGCGAGCTATCTGCTGAGTGGCGGGAGTTAGGATCCTGTTCTTATCGACCAGATTTCCCACCAATGTTTTAAACGAGCAACGGTTAGAAAACCCAGCGAGCGCGCAGGAGTGTGTGCTGTGCTGTGACTCCGAACGCCTGTGGTCTCAGGGCTTGAGGGATGCCCTGTCATTGAGTTGGTCCTCCCCAGGCAGCGGCCAGAGCAGGAGAGCCATCAATCCAGTGGTTTAGGAACTCGAGTGCAGCTCAACGCCGAGGCATCGTGTGAAAGGGGAAGTGTATTTGTCATCTACTGTGGGTTTCAGAATTATTACACGTCCTCCCTCTCCCCTCTCCCCCGGCCCCCTCCAAATCGGCCTTTTCCCCCCAAAGCCAGAGAGAGAGTTGTGTCGATAAGCGACAACTGGAAAGTTAATGCCTTTTTTTTCCCCTGAAAACAGGTAATTTAAACCAAAAAAGCGAGATTCGAGATTATTGTCATTTGTTGTGACTGTTCCTGAACTGGACAGGGAGGGAGGGAGGGAGGGAGGGAGGGAGAGTCTGGGTGGGTGTCTCGTGTCCTGACAGCATGTGGGCTTGATCGCTTGATCAATCCATCCACACGATACCCGCTTTCGCAATGCCATGGATCAAACAGAAAGACTTTTTAACTCTTCACAGGACCGTTCTGTTCCTGCCCTCGCTGGCTCAGTCGCTGGCTCAGTCGCCGGCTCAGTCGCTGGGAGGAGGGCGGTCGCTTTGAGTGTTGTAAACGCACCATCAATGTCTTAAAGAAAAAGTTTACGCAATCTCAAAATTTTTCTCTGTAATTTTTTGTACAAAGGAAAGCGAAGAATGTTCTTAAATTGTAATGTTTTATGTGGAGCAGAGACGACACAATGTACATTTTTTCCTCTCCGTGTAGGATTGTTGACGTGATTTAAATTTTGGGGACAGATTCTGTCGTAGTATGTAATTTATCTACTTTTTTTTTCAGACAATGTTTTATAAAGACACATCCGGCTTTTTTCGAAACAAGATTTGTATTTAATTTGTGATTAACATAATTGGGCTCTTCGTCAACTTTTAAAAGAAAAAGGAAACATCTTTCACCTTTTTTGTTGTTCTTTTGATCCGGCATGTATTCGAAAGACAATTAAAAACTTTCATAAACTTGGTGGGTCTGTTTGTGAACTGATTCCCTCCACAGGACTGCGTTCACAGATCAGGTGAACCACCTCTTCGTGCTGAGCCACGTGTGATATTCTCACCCACACGCGCAGAAAAATATACACACAGTCAACTCACTTTACAGTATATTTTTGTGAAGCGCTTTGAGACGTCTCGAAGACGTGATGAGGTGCTGTATCAAATGCAAAGGCACGTTTCCTGACTCCGCACACACACGCGCCTCTGTTTACCAGCACTAAGGAACTCAGTTGTTAGTCGATTTGGGGGATCACGTTTCTGGGGGTAATCCTTCAAATCATTATTGTGATTTACTATTTTTTGGTCACTTCGATCCACGGCT